GGTTGCATACCTGGAAGATGAAGCCTTTTCTTGCTGGTTTAAGCCCAGAAGATGAACACATTCAGACAGAGGTTTACACAAATGTTTCCTAAGTTCTTCTCCAACTACCCGTGCTAACACACCTAAGCAAGAAGATCTTGGTGCAGATCACAGCATCCAGGTCGGCTGCAGACCTCAGGGGCCAGGTGACTGCTGAGAATAAAGGTACAATGAAAGCGTGGGGTGAGATCTGAGTTCCTGGCTCTCCTGCTCGATGCTCAGCAGCAGAGCAGGATTCCTTTCCAAGAGGAGCAGTGCATCCTGCCAGTGGGGACTGTGCTTTCATCTGCTCTCGCAGGCGGTCAGTCTGCACTGCCTCCAGGCACGCACTGCAGCCAAGTGCTGGGTATCTCTCCATCCTGAGATCCCCAAATAGACAGAACACTCACGCACCTTAGTACAGCTGTAGTCTTGTGATTACAGCAGGACCAGTGGATCCAATAGGATCAATAGCCGGGGTGCATTAGCTGCAGCCTGATAAGGGTCTTATTACGTCTTGCAGATCGGTATGTACCTGAGTGAAAGCAGAAATCTGCATCAGAAGCAGTAATTAAGAAGTGATTTGCCCTTGGCCCATACTGTGGGCATAAAGCCAAAGCCTGAGTTCCCAGAACTGGGATTGTTCAGATCCAGGCTGAGTTACGTGATGTTTTTTGCTCTCAGATCTCTAACAGGGAGGAAAACCAGTGCATGCTAATCCTGTGGGTGAGATGTCTGCTGGATTGCTGAACACCACCTCGGCAGGTATCTTCTTTGCAGCCAGGATAACTCAGGACTAGGCCGTAGCATGAACGATGGGCCACGAATATCCCTTTCCTTTGGGAGTTCTGCAACTCTTTCATGTCTTCACCCTGTGAATGTGACTTCCTGAGGTTTTGTGCCTGAATGAGCATAAACAAGACAAATCAGTGTGCTGAAACTTCAATTGCATTGCATGGCTTACCCAAGTGATGAGCAAACCCCTAAAGACTCATGTATAAGACACCAGAGAGGCTTGTGCTATGAAGCGGTGTGCCCAGTGTGTGTGCAGGGAGGGGCAAAGGGCTTCCTAAAGGTCCCGATTTGGGGAGAGAAAGCGAAGGCTGGGAGCTCTGTGCATGGCAAACCTTTGTTCCCCTCCCACCACAGAGCCTGGCACTGCTCCTCCGCTATAGAAAGCCGAAGAGCAGGCGTCCGTGCGGACCTTTCGCATGCTTCCTGTGTTGCCCGTGGCCGATGATTCCAGCTCTTTGGAAGCTGCGGGATTTGCCATCTGAGAGGTGAGGCACCGGCAGCTCCAGTGGGCTGCCTGTGGAGTGATGGAGCCCTGTGCCAGGAGTGGCACTGGAAAGCCGGGCTCAGAGGAGCAGCAGTGTCTGAGCACTGCGGAGCATCGCTCTCGGTTATTTATGCCCGCATCACTGCTGCTCTCTCCGAGCAGGAGGAAGCAGCCTGCCAGCCCCAGCAGCGCTGTTTCTCTGAGCACCTTCTGTTACCCATGGCTGGGCAGCAGTGGCACGATCGCCAAGGGTTTCAATTATTCCGTTCTGTTGCTGACACAGCTTGAAACCTGCGCTCACATTCCGAAGGGAACAGCTTGGTGAGCAGAACCGGGAAGCCTGGCAGCCCCCCTGGGGCCTCAGGAGATCTCGAGACAGGAACACAGGGAGAGATTTGTCCTCTCTAAGCAGAAAGGGGGCATGCTGGAGTGATGTGAAGCCATCACATAGCCTTCAGGGTGCAGCGAGTGCCCAATGGAGCTGCTCTCCTTCAGTGGCATCAGCCCCGTGCGCATCCTGGCATCATAGCTCAAACTGCACATCATTCCCTGAGCAAAATACATCGAAGCCCGCTGTTAAAGTTACTCTTCTCCGAGTTAACGTGTTTGAGGTTCTCTGCCGCATACACTGCCCATTCCCTTAAATGAAAGGAAAAGAACAGCTGAGGATAGGCCAGCAGAAGCCAGCAAAGTGGGAGATCACTTCTCCAGTTACATGGAAGATAACAACGCAGAGGAAGGAGCCTTGCATTCCTCCACAGCTACATCATAGGGCAGTTGAGCTGCTCCAAAGGTCAGAGGCAAGCTGTGTATCCTGAACAACCAAACCTCTGTAGCTGGAGGAGGAGTTTCCTTTAGAGACCTCTTCCTTTGAAATCCCTGACAGCTTCTCTCCTCCCCATTGACTTTGCCTGCAGTTGCTGCTGGGATTCAATGTCTTCATCTCAGGTGTAAACCTGGGATGCACCAAGGGACGCCGAGTCTCATCCCAGGAGCCCTCTCAGGACAGCAGGGGGAGAAATGGCTCTTCCTGTGGGTATCAGATAATAGAGCATCCAGGGAACAGCACTTAATACCGGAACCCTGGCTTGCAAAGTGCCCTGAAGCCCACAGGGGAGCACAAGGGCCTTCGTGGGAGCTGACAGCCGTCATTTGCTGTAAATCTCAGCTGCTGTTTCTTAGAGAGCATTCCTATGGTGTCTGTTGTGAATCAGTTCCCTCTGCAGAGCGCCGGTTTAACTCTGTGTTAGCTTTTGTGGCTGCAACACGTTGATCTGCACAGTCTTGGAGGCCTTTAAGGGGATGTCCGTATGGATGTCACTAAGGAGAGGACACGGTGTAAGATCTTAGGGAGTGAGCAACCCAACCCGTATCAGTTCAGGGTCTGGAAACAGGTAAGTGTTGAGGACCTGCCTGAGACCATCTGAGGTGTTTTCACGGAGAGATTGAGAGCTATTTGTTCATTGGAGCTGTATTGGTGTCTGCCAGGCTCTGATTTCTCAGACAGCGCTGTTCCCATACGGTTGGGTTCTCCAGAGCCGCAAGCTGTGTCCGAGGTGGTCCTGTTGGGCCTAACAGGCAAGACAAAGGTGACAAAGCACCAGTAAAGCCCTGCTCGAGGGAAGGGTTCAGATGGATCTCATCAACAAGGGACAGCAACCAGAGTGGCAAAGACGCTCCTGAAGTCAGGCACTTCTCATTCCTTACGGCTGCAGAAAGGCTCTGCCTTAGGGGCAACGGAGACTTGAGGGACCTGGGGGTATCGCTGCCCACCACGTGGCCTGGAGGCATGTGCCAAAACAGCCTGTGTGCCATGGTGGTGCCTGCAGTAACCACAGCTGCTTCCTCCTCCCTCCTCAGCCAGGCTGTGAGGGAATCCCAAGCATCGTGTCCCCTCCTGTGCCGCTCATGGGGAGCCTTCCAGTGGGACGCTGCTCTGTAGGAATTCCCTAGGGACACGCAGCTGGCAGAGCTGTTTTCCCTCCCTCTGGAGTGCCACAAGCTGTGTTTATGCTGCCCAGCCCTTTCCCAGTGCGATCACCTTACTGGGATGAAGTTCCTTGTCCTTCCTGCACCCGCAGTCCCAAAGGGGCCGGGTGGATGGTAGCTGGCAATAGGAACCAAGCCATGCTCCCGGCACCCCCAGTGCTCCCATTGCCAGGGTGTCCCCGGTCCCGTGTCCGCATCCAAGGGTTCTCTGCCCCGCACGGTGTCACCCCCAGCACAGGAGCGGGTGGGACGGGAGCGGTCTCCAGCAGGTCTGTTCCTGGGGACAACTGGTGTGACTGCCTTGCGTGTCTTTCAGAGAGGGCATGCACCAGCCACTGTGGACCCCTTGCCTTCTTGCTGCAAGCAAGGATCTCCTGAAGGGATGCTGGAGCAGGAGTCTGCTGTGCAGGTAGAAGGGGGGAAAGGGGCGCGTTCATTGTATTGCAGTGGGCTCCGGGCCCTACAGAGGACCTGGAGCTGGCTGTCACTTAGACCTCATTCGCTACTTCTGTTCCATCTCCGTGTCCTTCATTTGGGACTATGCCCGAGCCAAGCTCTGCAGAGACCGGTGACCACCGCGGGGTCTTCTGGCCCAGCCTGCTTCGTGCGGCACAAACCACGACGTGGCTCTGCCCTCGGAGCTGCTCCCCTGTGGTTTGCATTGGTTCGTGTGGCTGCAGGCTCCCCTTCCCCTGCGCTGTTCGAGGAGCAGGGCTCACCTTATGGGCTCCTTGTTTACAGCTCATGGGCATGTTTATGAAGCGTGCTTCAGGCATGAGCCTCCCTCAGCACCCGTGGGCAGCCCCCAAGCCCCTGCCGTGGGATGTGTAATCTCCAGACTCCAGACAGGACCCCCCCACGGGGCCAGCGGGCGCGTGTGAAGGGTGATAGGGCAGAGTCCTGCTGCTGATAAAACCCCTCCGCTCGGGCTGCTTGCACTCGGTTTGGCTGCAGCGTTCGGTGTGCGAGGCTCATCGCAGTGCCCAGGCTAGGCTGACCCTCCTGCAGCGATGCCATGCCTGCATTACCTGAGGGTGAGTACTTGGGCACGGTGAGGGACTTGGGAGGGGGGGGGGAGAGGAATCAGGTCAGTTCTCAGGGTCTTGGTCTGCACACAGGAGTTGTCCTGGCCGGTAACATGGACTGCAGGCTGCTCCAGAGAAAACGGCCCTTGTGCCCAAAAGATTGCAGCTAAATGGATCAGAAACGGCAGGAAGGGCTTGCTGCCCTTCTGAGGTTGCTGGGAGCTTGCCTAAGGTGATGCTGGGAGGCAGTGGCAGAGCCTGGCATTGAGGCTACACCCCCCCTGGTGCTGTACCTGCCTCATCCTTCTCACCAGTGCTTTGCTGAGGTGCCCCCAAGTGCGGGTTCTTTGCGCTGCTGTAATGGTAAATGCTGATTCTCATGTTCCCATCGTTGCTGTTTCACCCAGCGAAGCTCTGGACGGGCTCACGGGATGACATCCCTTTGCTCTCCAAGGAGCCCATGCTCCCCAGGCAGAGCTGTACAGCCAGGCCTGTGCTATAGGTGCTTCCCTGGCAGTGCTTTCATCCCTGCATGGCTTCTGGAGGCTGCACCCCAAGCACTGGCCAGGCCAGCCTGGCCGCAGTGCATCTCTTGCAGCCATGGCACGGCGATGCTCACAGCATGCAGCTCTGAGTGCGTGTGGATGAGCGCTGCAGGAGCAGAGGTAGGGACAGTGACTCAGAGCAGACTGCAGAAGTAAGGAGCAGGTTATAAGCATCACTAGGAAAGCAAAGGCAGGTTTTGCATGAGGCACTGGTGCAGACCCCGGTGGCAAGGGCTGGACTCCAGGGCATCTCCTGAGTGCCCATTGCCCAGGGCAGGCTGGAAGCTGGTGTGTGAGGTGTGCCCCAGTCCATGGCCTGCACCGGGCAGGTCAGAGCACGTCTCTGCTTTTCCCCTTGCACTGGCACCTGCTAGAGCTCTCCTGACTGCCTGGTGTCCATACGGGTCATAGAATCATAGAATCATAGAATAGTCAGGGTTGGAAAGGACCTTAAGATCATCCAGTTCCAACCCCCTGCCGTGGGCAGGGACACCTCACACTAAACCATCTCACCCAAGGCCTCGTCCAACCTGGCCTTGGGCACTGCCAGGGATGGAGCATTCACAACCTCCGTGGTCAACCCATTCCAGTGCCTCACCACCCTAACAGTGAAGAATTTCCTCCTTAGATCCAATCTAAACTTCCCCTGCTTAAGTTTGAACCCATCACCCCTTGTCCTATCACTACAGTCTAATGAAGAGTCCCTCCCCAGCATCCCTATAGTCATAGGATGTCATGGTCCGAGGGGAGGAAGAGCATTAGGGAAGCAGGAGACAGCAAGCAGTTACAATGCTGCTGCATCTCTCCCAGCAGCTGTAATCCTTGTTATGGTGGAGTGCCTGAGCAAGAGCGCTGCTGTATTGTCTTCAGTCGCAGTCTGTGTGTTTTCTGGTAAGGTAAAAATAGCTTTTCTTTTTCAGGATCTGCAGAGAGCAGAGGCTCCTGCTCACATCAAAGCAGAGTGACAGCTTTCCCCTGGATGCGCACGGTCCCAGCTGGCAGGAGCTCTCTTAATTCTTGCCCTGCTTTGGCTCTGTGTGGAAGGAACTCTGTCCTGGGCTCCAGGTCCCTGCCTGGACCCTGTTCCTCTCTCCACTCACCGCTGCTGGACCCAGCACTGCGCTGCATCGGGGAAGTGATGGTCTGCGAATGGCAGGACAAGATCTTAGTGCTGCTACTTAGAGAACTCCTTAGCAGCAGTTGGGAGCTTCCACAGAGGTGGAGGCTGTAACACCTTATCAGAAGGATCAGTCTGCTGCACAGGGGCAGCTCCCAAGCCCTTGCTGAGCACCGATTAAGCTGTTTCTGGTATCCCCCCCTCACAGACCTGAACCCATTCCAGGTCCAGCAGCCAGGCAAGGGGACCAGGGAGGGGGGAAGGAAGGAGCCAAAGGGCTGCACAATGTCTGTGTCTGAATGTGGTCGGCAGGGATGGAGCTAACCCTGAGCTGCACAGTCCAGAGCTACCTCTCCTGTTCAGTGCTCAAAATGGGCTTTCCAGAGGTAGTCACTCGTGGTTATATAAAGGAGGAGGACTGAGCCTGATGCAGGGGCTGGTCTGAAAGCCTGCCCCTCTTCAGTGCTTTCAAACTGACAAGTTTCCTTCCTTCCTTTTGCTTTGGGACTTCTTTACCAGTTGTGCCGAGTTCCCTTCCAGCTCTAACAGCCCCTTGCTGCTGGAATGAGAGCAGATCCTTCATTTCCTGCATGCTCCCAAGATGCTTGGGCTCCCCCTTGCATTCTGGTCTGGGATCTCTGCAGGGCACAAAAGCCATCAGCCTCTGGTACATGGCCTGGGGCTATTGTGGGATCTCCGCTCAGCAGACAGGAGCATGGACACAGGGCTCAGGCTGGTGCATGGAATTAGAGCAAAGCCGATGCCTTGCAGAAATGACCTCTTGTGTCTTGACTTCTCCTCGGTCCTATTAAGATACGCCAACCTGCCCTAAACCGTGTGGGCAGAGGCAAGGATGCTTGGAGAGCAGAACTTGGGCATATGGGTTTATCTGCCTTCAGTGCTGGGGGCAGGGATGAGGATGATGGGAGAATAGAATCCGGGCGTATGGATTTATCCTTTTATGTGATGGATTTTTCCCAGTGCTTTTGCTTTTCCCTTCCCTCTGGGTTTGCAGCCCGTGCCTGGTGGCCTCTGCTCCGCGCTTCGCTGCCTGCCTGCCTGAGGCTTTGCTGCTGTGGGCTCTCTGGAGATGCTCTCTGAATGCTGCCTGTGCCACTTGGAAGGCAGAAACCTGCAGGAGGTTTTGTTTGCAGCACGGAGAGTGTCAGGTTCCTCTGAATACAGAAAGGGAAGTTCCTGTAAGGCAGACAGTGCGACTGCGGCTTCTGAGCATCCCGAGGTGAATCTCCAGCTCTGTTTTCCTGACCTTCCCTGATGGTCTTAGGCAGACCTTAGGTGCCATCTTTGACTGCTCTTAATCTCTGCAGCTGCTTTATTGTGTTTTCAGGACTGCCACATCCTTCTCATCTGACGAGAAAGGATCCAGGTTATCACCTGCAGACGCAGCACTTGATGTCTGTAAGGCAGGGAGGTCCAAATGAGCTCCGGCTCCAGAGGAATCCCTCGGTTGGGAAAGGAAACCCCTACACTGCTGTAAGGTTTTGCTGTCTCAAGGGTGAGGATCATGCCCATTACTGGACACAAGCCCACATAAGCCAAGAAATGTCGAAGCAAACATCAGGGGCTGTTGCAGGGGCTCTTGTTCTACCTCCCCAGCCAGCAGCACTGACCTTAGATGCCAGCACCCTGGCACTAGCGACTGGAAGTGCCCGGCTGACCTCTTAGGTGTGAGCTGGACCTTTCCCCACACCTTCTAGGTAGGATACCCATAGCAAAACCTGGCTTTGGGGCCAGGGTTCACGTTGGCATCTTGCTGCTGGTCCTGGGGCTCTTTGGTTGTTGGGGTGACGGCGTGCTGGCCAGCCTGCTGGGTGTTGCCTTGCTGGAAAGGCTCTGGGGAGAGATTGTGGCCCTCCTGTTGCTGTTTCTGTGCTGATCACAACAGTTTGCACATCCCAGTTTGCAAGACGCCTCGGCTGACTTTGCTCCTCGTATGCAGGGTGGCACGTGTGGCTCTCGATAAGGGGCTTTGGAGCAGCAGACAGATGCCTACAGCGCGCAGAGCAGGCTCCTTGCTGGAAGGAGCACACGGCTTCCAAAGAACACAAAAGGGAAGATGCAGAGCTGTCATTCATGGCCCAACTCATGAGACAGCAAGGAGCCTGTGTAGCGGAGTGATTGCTTTCCACACCTTTGCAACCATAGGAAGCTTTTCACTCAGCAAAGCCTGCTGTTCCTCACTGACAATGCTTTCCAGTAGCTAGGCCTGGAAGAAACAAAACTGAATGAGTGCCCGGGCTGGCTGCCTGCCCCAAGGATGGCTGCATGGGCCGGGTCTGCATCCTTCTGCCTCTGCCATGCAGGGGCTAAGGCAAAGCTGCCACACAGGTCCATGCAGAGCAGACCAGGCTTCCCAGCCAGCAGGTCGCACAGCCATGGGGCTGGGAGCATCTTGCTCCCCAAGGCACGGGAAGTGATTTGTTATTTGGAAGTCTGCATTGGTGTAAGAGCAGCCATTTTCCGCAGTGAGACCAGAGACTCTGAAGGTAGAGACCAGGGAAGAGGAAAGGCAGGGGCTGCGTGATGGAACTGGGGATAGAGACTCTGCATGGTTCAGTTGCAAGGCAGCTCTGGCTGTGGGATACCTTTGGGTAGAGAGTGAAGAAAATACAGGCATTTAAAACCCTCACAGTGACTGCATCTCCCCCATTCTTCCCTCTCTGTAAGAAGTCCTTGCATCTCTTCCAGTTGAGCAGGGAATGGTTTTGACATCAGAGCACTGCTTCTGCAGGCAGTGAGCAGGTCTGGTGGGTACCAGCAGCCTCTGAGCAGGTATGCTGCCCGTCTCCTGCCTTGGTGCTGTGTGGTGGTGGTGTGGCATGGGTCAGAGACCTCTTGGCAAGGGCACCCAGGCCCTTTCTTTTGGCACCTTTGGTCCTGCCCAGAGCAGGAGCTGAGGAGCTGTGTGTGAAGGGGTCCCACCTCCTCTCGAGCTCCTCAGCAAGAAGCCAGCTCAGCCCTTCCTCGTGCCGGGTGCTGTATGGGAAGGAGTTGCAGTCCCTGCTCAGGCTGCCTCATTGCTCCTGCAGACAGAAGGGATAAGCAGGCACATAGGGTGCAGAGGCCAGCGCAGCAGGATGCACACGTGCCTTCCAGCAGCGTGGCTGCTCGCTTCCTGCCTTTGTGACCCAGAAAACACCGTGACACCAGCACAAGTCCCCAGACCCTTTTTTGCCCTTGGGATTCAGCCCCTTGCAGCACGTTCAGAGCGGGCTCCACACAAGCAGGCGATGCACAGACCCCCCCTGCCCTTATCAGCGCTGTGCAGATGGAGCCCGTCCCTAGTGGGAGCCAGAGCCAGGTGCTGCCACAAGAGATTAGAGCCCAGCCAGCAGACAGAGCGGGATTACTGAACCTGTGATGCAGCCCTTGAAATCCAGCCTGAGCCTTTGCTTTGGCACCGCTTCCCCTTTGCTCATTGCCTCAGCCGCCGATACGATGCCATGGGCTTGGTCAGGTCCAGGCTTCTCATGCTGGGGAAGGCATTAGGACACTGGTGCAGCAGCAGGAATGCTTTGCAGGGCAAGGCTGTGAGCAGGGCAAGGCTCTTCGAGTCCTGTTGCTACCTGTGAATAGGAGCAGAGGAGCCGCTCGTCAGGGCCAGGAGAGGGAAAGGGGAAAAGGTAGCAGGCAAAGGGAGGCTTTTCCTGAGGGAAAGGGAAGGGAAAGAGGACCGAAGCACAGCCCGGAGTGCTGTGCTGTGGCTTTCAGCTTAGAAGGTCTTGTAGCACTTGTAATAACCAGATCTGAGGTGTCTTCCTTAGGGAATTGCTGGCAGCAGCCTCCTGACACTTCACATCTTGAATGTCTGAAGCCTGTGTATAAGGGTAAGCTGCCATATAAGAGTGCAAGAAGTACATGGCAAGTGAGGCAGCTCCTTTTTCCCCCTGGAATAGCTCCTTTGGCTAGGAAGGCAAAGGGGAATGGGAAGAACTACTACAAACTCCAAAGGAAGGAGAACCAGCAGAGGCAGCCTTCGCATCTGGAAGCAGTGGCTGTGTATCCTGAGGCACATGGATATACTGGGAGGTGCATATACCATGCCCATGCTGCACTTGGTGCTTATTAGCGGATAGTAACTGCAACGTGTGCGTGCTTGTGTTGAGATCACATCGGTGTTGTGCTGGCTGGGATGTGTGTGTATCTTCTGATCCACACATCTACCTGTGCCCACAGGGTCCCCGCATGGGAGATGGCGATGAGCCCAACGCCTTCATCTCCCTGGTGAGCACCAGGTCAGTCCCACCATGCACACTGGCACCAGAAGGGCAGCGTGGCTGCAGATCTGTTCCCTTTGGAGCTGAGCTACCCCTTCTTCTCTGGTTGCATGTGTTTGTCTGACTGCTGCTGCCTGATCTCTGCGTCCCTCTATGCATCTCCGAGCATGGGGAGCAGAGGGGCAGCACCTCTGGAGCGCTCCAGCCCCAGTGCATCCTCCAAGGCCCTGACCCTCAGCATCCAGAGGTCGGGAGGGAACCGGGACCCGTCTCCTGGGTGGCAGCTATTACCTGTGCAGTGCCGGCTCCAGGGCACGTCTGTGGGGCTTGCTCCTTCTCTGCTGTTCCCGAGGCAGCCCTGCCCCGTTCCCCGCACTTGGCAGCAGTCATTTGCTTTCCGGAGGTGGCTTGGTATTAAATATCCTGTCTGACACAGTAATGGAGAGAAAATGAACAAATTCCATTAGCGGCTGGCGATCCCTGCAGGGTCTGCGCCGGAGCGAGCTGCGAGCCTGTATTTTTAGATAGGATGCAATGCAACTCACTGGCTCTCTCAAAGCTGGGGAGTAGATAACCAAGGAGGGAGAAGGGGGACGTCAGGCTCAGGTTTCAGCTCAAGTGCCGGACTATGGCAGCACGAAAGGGCAGGTCCGGTCCAGACGCGGCTGTGAGTATCCACCGCTCTTCTTCATGCCCGCAGAGACCTCTGCTTTGCTTTTCTGCCTGCTTTCTGCCTCTGCTGCTGGGGCTCTGGGAGACCGGAGCCTCTATAGAGCGTTACCACGTTAATCTTCACAGCTCCATGCGTGTCCCAAGGGTGGGAGAGCCTGGCTGAGCTGCGCTTTGGCTTCGCTGTCGGAGGTCTGTGCTGTGGCTGGCATGCAGGCAGCATAGTTGAGGTGCTGCCTCGCCACTGATCCTGACCCGAGATGCAGAGGCTCCTAGCAGGGTCTGGAGCTGGAAGAGCTCACTGTGCTCAACCTGTTGCTTGAAGCCTGTCGGTGTTTCCTTGCTATAGACAGCAGGCAGGGCTCCGAGGGCAGGCACCCAGTGCGAAGCACAGCGCTAGTGCTGCCTTCTGTCCATCATCCCCTATGACAGGAGCACTGCTGTGAGCCCGGGGGCACGTCCCCACTGGACCAGGCTATCCCCTGGGCTGCTGGCAATGGAGCCAACTGGCACAGGAGGCTGAGCATCGGCACACGGAGGCTGCGCCAGGGCATGCACGGAGGTGCTGCCTCCACTACTGTCCCTGTGAGCCCCAGGCACTGGCCCTGCAGGAGGTAGCAAGGCAGTGGTCCCAGGATGTGGCTGTTGCTCTGGGGTAGGAGGCTCAGGCAGATGGGCTAAGGGAGGCGGACGGAGGACAGCAGAAGGCTGTTGTGCTGCTTCAAAGCCTGAATTCTAATGGCTGAGGCTGCATCATCCTGCCTGTATCTGCTTCCAGTGCTGTCCTCTGTGACCATGGCACTTCAAGCTCCTGTCCAGGAGCTTGCTAAGCTTGGTGCTCCCCTGCAGCCAGGCTGTGGCACTACAGGGTGGGCTGGGATGGCAGGATATAGGCTCTTGTAGCACAGGAGGTTCCCTGGTCAGGGCCAGCGTGAGTGGTACAAGAGGGGTTCTGATTTGCTATTGGAGCTTAAGGCAGAAGAGGGTACCCTGTGCCCTTGCTGTGGATGCCTCATGGCTCTTTAGGCTGGACCTAGGAGGCATCCACTGGCACAAGGTCCCAGCCTCACAGCCCCACATCACTGCATTTTCACCCTGTTGTTCTCCAGCATCTGGTGAACCATCCCATGGTCTTCATTCACTGCCTCACACTGCTCAATAACGTTGCTTCAAGTACTGCTGTGCCTTGCCTGGGTTCCAGTGGTGCCAGGAGGCGCTGCCTTGCTCCTGATGGAGGAGAACGCTGTGACTTCCCTGCCTGGGGCGTGCCGGTACCGAGCTCACCCGTGGTCTCTGTTGGACAGGGATGGGCTCACCACGGCTCCAGTCCCTCAGCCAGGACATGGGCATTTCCTGGGCCAAGGGAGGCTGCCAGGGTTGCAGGAGGCCCTTAGAGCATCCTCCCTCCCATCCACAGTGCTGGGGCGAGCCAATGGATGCTCTAAGTGCAGGTCCCAACCATGCCGCTCCCTCTCTGGCTCGGGTCCTATCAGTCTGTCCCACCTTGACCTGCCCAGGCTCTGCCTTGTCTGCCTGGTCTCTGTAGTCACGTTCTCTGCTGTCGGAGAGCTGGCCTTGTGCTGGTGATGGGGGAGAGCAGAGGGACCCTGAGTCTTATTCTTTGTCTTCTTTTCCCCAAAGGCCGATGCTGCGACCAGTTTCTTGAGAGCTGCAAGATCCGGGAACCTGGACAAAGCCTTGGATCACCTCAGGAATGGGGTAGATATTAACACCTGTAACCAGGTAGGTGAAACCCACAGGGCTTCTGCTACCGTCTCTGGTTCACGTGAAAATGTGCCCCGGTGGCTCCCCAGGCCCAGCAGCAGTCACTGCACCCCTTCCTTGTGCTGCTCCCATAGGATGGAGGCAGGGGGGTTCCCCACGTGCACAGCTGATGGGGAGCACATCCGCTGATCCCTGTGCGCAGTGCGCTAGGGAGGGGAAGGGATCGCCAAAGGCACATCTGGACCCGTTGTCTTCGGGGCAGGGAGGGCAGCAATAGCTTAAAGGAGCCTGGCTGGAGCACAGCAAAGGGTCTT